TGAGAAGCATTAATAAGTCTTAAATCAAAAATAGAGTTCGTGATATCTTTTGTAATATTTGCCTGATCAATTTACTCATTCGATTCAAACTTGCCGCTGGGGCCGTCTGTCACCATTTGTTGTTGGCGATGTAAGCTGCCTAAGCATTGTTGCCAAAGTTACTTTTGTTTGTATGATATACATAATACCGTATGATCGAAAAAAAAACGGCGTCCAGCTGGCTTGGAAATGACGATCGATGACATTCCCCATATAATTTTACATATAAAATGACAGCGATGTTCATTTCATAGCCATGGCTGACGCCGTTTTTTTTCGATCGTTCGGTACGTTACATGATACAAAAAAAGAGTTGAGACCGAAAGAGTTTTGATTGCGTTGGTTTCAACTTTTCCGTGAGTGTGTTAATCTTTTGTTTTGTTTTTTATTTTAATACGAATCTGATTGCTTTCACTTGATTTTACGTGCCGGTCGCCGGACGAACAAATCCTTATACAGTAGCGCTGTCACGATAAGAACAGATTATAAGTTATTTTAAAATCAAGATATTGAAAGCACTCAGATTCGTATTAAAATATAAAAAAACAACAGATTAACCCCCAAACAAGTTGAAACCAACGCAATCAAAACTCTTTCGTGCAACTTTGTAGTTATAAATAGTCAGATCTCGTAGGCAAAATATCAGCTATGGGTAGGAGCAGTTCCTCAGACGATCGCCTTTTCTTGATTTTAAAATAATCTGTTGTCATAGTCTGTTGTTAACGTGAGTTTTCTTCCGACCAGCACGTGTTTTTTTTTAATGAACCTTTCACTAAGAAATGAATGAATGCGATCATATATCAGTGAAATTGTCTTATATCGCAGTGAAAAGAATAGCATTCATAGTAGTTGTGTATATGGAGTTAATTAAATTATGGATCATTGACAAGCCACTATGGATATTGTTAAACAAGGTATGTACTTTAAATTTATTTCTAAACAAGTTCATTGATTGTTTAGGTTTATTTATATTTTAAGATGAATCTTAAATGTGTATAAAAATTTTACGTTTTCAAACTTCAAAAAGGCATTTAAAAAAACATATCAAAACATATCGTAATTATTGAATATATTTGTTGTCATATTCATACACTTTAATTTTTGTATAGTTCACCTGCGTCTGCTTGCGACGAACTTTATTTTATAATACTTTTCAAATGGAGTAAAATTGATAAGCAATGCCGATCTGGTTAATACTTAGCTTGATCATAAGGACAAGAACTCAAAATTATTTGTATTTCAAAAAATGTGTTCTTTATTAGATATTGATGAACCTTCCAGTCAAATAAGACACCACTTGTGCCTGAAATGGAGCGAAACTATGTTGGAGCGAAACGTCGCATAAAAAAAGTTTCCATCTTTCAATTTATTATAAGAACTCATACCCAAGAAAAGGAAAAAATAATATATGGATATGGTCTCTTAAAGAGGTAACTATTAACATCCGAATCCCTCATACCAACAAAGGGAACACGCGAAACAACGCGAAAAAGTAACATATTAGAAAATGATGTACAGAAACATCTTATAATATGTGAGGATAATTCATCTACCTGTGATTTGGATACTATAAATTTGGAAGATTCTGTCAGCAGTGATTCTTCTGAATCAGAGTAGTTACGATCTATGCATTTTTTTGTCCTAAAGTAAATTTATAGTATCTTAAGTTTTTTTTTAATTAAATATAACATTGATGTTTCTTTTTCATTAAAGAAATTTTATCATTTTAGCTTATATTAGGCTTATATTTTAGGAATCATGTTCTAATGTTATTTAAATTCTTTTTTATCCCAGGGATTTATTTAATACTTACAACGTTTTCATACTATAAATTATTATTTCCTTAGATGGAACACAGCTCCAACGTTTTTATTATTTATAAGATTTTTTTTTCATAAACGTGGGACTAAGAATATCACCTTTTAGTACAATGAGAGTACTCATCATATGTGTCAAATAAACCTAGTTTGAATAAATTGCCTACAATAAAAGAGAAGTTTTGCATTTTTGTCCGATCATATGGCTCTAGACCATATGATCGAAGCACTGTGCGACGTTGGGAAATTAATAAAAATGGTACGTTGTTATTTTGTACGTCGACAGATCGTTGGATTTACCGACTCGGATCCAACGACGTCGCTTTGAATAGGAAAGCGACGTCACCGGTCGTATCACCAGCACCCGACCTAAATTTGCACAAAGTCTGACGTCACTTCAGGTCAGATTTAGTTCGAAGTCAGATAGATGCTACTTGGGCTGCTTAGTGCGTGAAGTATGACTTGATTCGTTTCTCTACTGGAAAAACAATATTTTATAAACGTATAAAGACGATTATCTTCAAATAGTAGGAAATTGGACTTGATCCATTTTAATTCTGACCACTCGATTTAAAAACTGAAAATTTGTATTGTATTGAGGAAATAGTTAAATCCTGAACTGAAATGTGAGAGCCAGTGGACATATACGATTGGAAATTTGTAGGGGTGTTAGGAGCGCAAGAAAAAAGGGGGCCGAAAAACACTCGACAGGCGAGAAGAATTGAAGCCGAATGTATCTAACGACCGTCGCGAGGCATTGGGGTCCCCTGAAATGTGCCGAAACATAAAAAACTGCTTTTATTTTCTTATATTCTTATTATTTATGATAATACGTTTTGGGTTTCTCGAGGAGAAAAGACTAGCAATTTATATTATACGCGTTAGATGGCGTGGACTTTTTTCGACCGTCCTAGACCGAGGGATATTTTTTGCTGAGAAAGTATTACGTCCCAAGGAAAGGAAATATGTTCCTTTTATGGCCCAGTAATATTGCTAATTTTTTTTCGACCACCCACCTTTTTGTCAAGTCAAAAGGGAAGAATTTTTTAAGGAGTTATTTTATCTGGTTAGAGAATTTAAAATGATGTAGAATGTTTAGGAGTTAGTTTTTACCTTACCGATCTATTTTGTGTTCCTTTCTTGAGTTATAACGAGTTATAACTTATCATACAGTCCAAAGGCTTTGATAAAAGCCAGTATCTGAGACGGCTCCATAGAGGCTAGCTCGCCATCTCCGACATCGGCCGTACCAAAGTTTATGGGTTATTTCCCCTGTTTTCAATAGTTCCTATCTAAGATAAACGTACGCATCTTTCGATTGCGTTACTTTTTGTCTGAAGGATGCCGGGGTAGGTGTCTATTGGTTCAAAGTATTTATATATAGTATTATTATAATAATAAATAATATAAATAATTTGAGTACATTTACATTACAAGCGTAATAATGGGCTTAATTAATATCTTATTAATATAATATATTAGCTTATTAATATAATATAATGAAATATTAATATTCGTTTTGCCATAAAGTGTCTTTTGAGTTGCTAGATAATTTGAAAAATATTATAAGTTCCACATAATGCAACACTGTGTTTTTTTCGATGTTAAAGCCTGTTCACTTCTATCCCAACCCATGAATTGTCCTCTATTATCTATGAACAATTGATAAATCTAATCTTAATATAATTGTGTGATTTTCAGTATTTAATAACAATATTTTGAAACTTGTTATATGAACTAAAACTAATGGGAAATTATAACAATGAAATATTTAAACAGAAGATGGGGTTACCGATGGGTTTTAATTTCACCGTTATTCGCAGAAATATTTTGGCAGATTTTGTAAATAGTTATTTTAAACAAGTAATTCTCTTACATATAAATTTTTTATGAAGAAATGTTTGACATTTATTTTTATAAAACAAGAGTAGTTTAATATCAAAAATGCCAGTATAAGCAAAATATTATTTTTAAATATGTAATGGTAAACCTAAGTACCTAATAATAAATAATTTTGATTTCTAATTTTTCAATTATATTTTCGATCCATTACACTGCATGCTAATTTAAGAAAATTAATATCAAATGTTTCAATTTCATGATTTTAAAGTTTATTGTTAATATAACAAATTAGCTCTTACAATTTTATTATTTAATAAAACCAACGATGCCAAAATTTAGAGACTATATTATTTTTAAATATGATCTATTATAAATAATTTTGACATCTAATTTGTTGTACATATCTTGCTACTACGTAAAAATGTTTATATTAGCCCAGATTATTTTAAAAAGAGTTATTAATAAGGTATAGCAAATTTACTGTTATTATTAGTTTTCATTGTATAGTAATTTGTTTAAAAACATTAAAATCATTAAACATTAAAATAATAAAATTTATTTCTAACAGAAAATAACCTAACATCCCTAACTAACTAAAGCCAAACAATAATATTCTTTAAATTACATATCAATTTATTACCAATATATGGCAACAGCGCCCTTCATAATGTATTTTTGGATGTAAATACTATTAACCTCAATAAAAAAATAATGTGTCCTAGGTCTTTATATGATATAAATAATCAAAGACGCCGGCTAATTTCGAAAGAAATCTACATCGCCGTATATACAACTAAAAATCCAGTTAATATTTAGGCCAAATAATAGATCCTGACGAATATATGAATTTCATAAATGAATGAATTTTATAATAATGAAGCATTTTTGCTGCTTGCAATTACTTGAATACAACATTTAAAGGCAGATGACGCATTAAATTCGATAATTTTATACAGTTAGATTTTTCAAAATGTCTTTTACTAGCTATCGAATTATTCGAATGAATTGCAACTATCGAATGTTTCGATAGTATTCATTCGATAGTTCCCACTACTAGTTATTTCCCCTGTTTTCAATAGTTCCTATCTAAGATAAACGTACGCATCTTTCGATTCCGTAGATTTTTGTCTGAAGGATGCCGGGGTAGGTGCCTATTGGTTCAAAGTATTTATATAGTATTATTATAATAATAAAATTTATACACAATCAATTAAAAGATTTAATATAAATAATTTGAGTACACAGTACATTACAGAAGCGTAATAATGGGCTTTAATTAATATTATTGTGTTTTCTTTATAGGTGCTTCAATAGCAAGAAGGGCCAAGCTGCCATCTACATTGAAGCGACAGACGAGCGATCTTTTGACAGACAAGCAATCGAAATAGAGTACGATCTCCAGCAACTGCCAAAGAATACCTATGGATACGATCCAAGCGAAGAATGTAGACCTTGCTCCAAAGAAGAACTGGCACATATTTTCTGTACCAGCGATTTAGGTAAGATTTTGTAACATATTTTTAACTCTTAAAAATTGAGTGTTTGATGACTGTTCTACTATGAACTGGTTTACCTGCCTCTATACTGATGAATTTTTCCTACCATTCTAGACATGTTTTTGGGGCAGTCATTGTTTTGGGGTCAATTTTATAATAATTGTCCACCACACAGGTCAGTTCTGGTCTGAAAAATGATATCGATAAGCATGGTTTGGCCATTTCTACACTAAACGTACAGGGTTGTTATAGAAAATAATAATTAATTTAGCTTAGTTTCTTGAACTGTAATATTTATAAATTATGCAGAAATTCTTGGGAATGCAGTTCAGTTTAAATAATAGACAATCATATCTATGTCATATTATATTTTTCTAATAGACATTATATCTATGTCATATTACATAACTAAATTATTAGAAAAATATAATATGTCATAGATATAATGTCTATTATTTAGACTGAACTGCAGGGGTGGATGGGGAAGTGGAAACCGGCCCGGGAAAAACAGGCAACCGGCCCAAATCCACAAAAACAAAATGACCATAACGAAGAAATATATTTTATTTATTAATATATAAGTAAAGGTGTAAAAAGCTCTTTTGCCTCCGGTTTAAAAAAAAATTAAATTGTCTTGATCAAAATTTTCGTAAAGACCAATATTGGGTGGGACATCTGAATTTTTACGACAAAATGGCTCAGTTTTACAGGGTTCTACTGCTTTATTTCCATTATCGATAACGGTAATTTGATCTTGAATAGGCTACGATTTTGAGAAAATTTAAGACTTCCTGATTCATTCAGTTCAGCTGACTCAATCCTCTGTGAAACACATTACTTTTAGCTTTTAATTATTGCTCAATACTACAGTGAGGTGTTACATTCTTGGTAAGTCATCCACTGGGAATTGGAGAAGAGGAATTTTCCTTTCCAGGGTGTTCCAAGCTTTGCTGAGCTGACAGTTCTCCCAGTACTGTTTCCGTCAATGACCATTCTAATCATTTTCGCATTGGCATATCTACCGACGACAATCTCAACGGAGAGACAAAATATAAAATGATGTAAACAATGGAGAGAAAAAAGTGGGGGAAATCTTGGCGCTTCCTGCAATTTAACAGGGGTGAAATGTGGCAAACACCGCCCGAATATAGAAATTATCTCGCGAAACAGGTCCTCGATGGTGCGGGGAGATAAAAACGCGCAGGAACTTTAAAAATACGAAAGATAATTAGGTATTTCCGACGTGGCAACACCGTCGGCGCGCTGAAGAAAGCCTGTAATTGCAAATAGCGGTGCAACCCCATTGACGACTCTCCATGAATGTAAATGGTCCGATCCCCCGATGGTTGGATCTTTGCCTTGCTCTTTTTTTCTTTAATTTATGTTTTTATACTTTTTATTTGTTCGGCAATCGGGCGCGGTGGCTCAGCCCTCATCCCTTCTGGGCCGTCCTATTCGATTTGTTCCCCACTTCTTTCAATAGCGCACAGCCACAAATCAGCAATACTTCATTTACAGGCGCACTTGCCTTTCTAATTTATTTCGTCCCATTAAAATTCAGCTCATTTCCTTCACTTGCAACTACTGAATATATAAAATTAGTTGCTTCTCTCCTAAATTATATTACGTTGCCGTATTATATTCTTTTCCCTTCTCTGGTTATGAACTTTATTTTTTTCACTCCGAAACGACCAGATCGTAAACTTTCTTATTTAAATACGGAATAATCCAATAAAAGTTGATTTATTCAATTCATTTCCGAGAACTCCAGCCAAAAAGTACAGTTTTATCATAATATGTTAAATAAATATTGCAAAAATTGAGCTCGAATTTTTGAAAATGGTGTAAGTACAATTTAAAAAAAATGAGTTAATGGTATAATTTCAGTAAGATATAGACACATTCTTTCCATATTTATAATCATACATTCAATGGAGGACGATTTTTTATAAAGTCAACAAAATAATTTTGACTATTAAATGGTATCACAAAAATGTTTTTTTTTTGATAGTGGAATAAGTCCATTCGGTAAAGCTAGTGTCTATAAAAAGATGGACTTAAATTTACTCCTGTTTTTATTTTTTGTAATATGTTATTTTTGAAAGTGTAGTCCATTTGGAGTTAAAAAGACTCTCGATATATATGAAATACCGTATGATCGAGAAAAAACGGCGTCAAAGGCGGCTGGGGAATGACTATCGATGCTATTTTTGACGAGGTCGAACTCTGCTCAAAGTTAATTAACTTTATTTTGATTTTTTTAGTTAATTTAAATTCTTCTTCTTTTCACTTTAAAGATCTTCAAAAAAATTAAATTTTAATTAAAATGAATACTAAATGTAGAAAATCTAGAAGACAATAGTAAGTTTCCGGATACAGAAATCTATATCCAAAAAATATTTTTTTCTGATAATTTGAACTATACCAGTTTTAATTAATAAAAAATCTATATTAGGTAAATCCAGAAATCGTAATTAATACTAAATGCGTCTTTAAAAGTAAAGAAGAGAAAAATCAAAAAGGCTCTAACCTAACAATCGCCCGTCCCAGTTCCAGGCATTTCGATAACTCGTTAACAAAAATCAGATTATTCTACTGTTAAAATGTATGGATTATCCTTTTGTAATTGTCTAATACACACTAGACCCTTCAGATTTAGTAAAACTGTAGCTGTAAACCAGTTATGTGTGTTCATTACTATACATGGAAGAAGTATTGTGTTTATCAACAAGGTTAATTGTAGGCCTTTAAATTTTGCTTAATATGGTCATATTTTGTAATATTCAACTCATAATTGTTGATACTTCTGGTGGATGATGTTCAATTTTATACATGTATAAAATATAAACACACTAAATTGAAGTACTAGAAACGGTAAGGTGGGATATTTTTACGAATCTGTATTATTACTTTTTTACTTATAGAATATCTACAGCTGTGTATAACCTCTAAAAAACAAATTAAATGAACAAAACTATGTCCAAGAAATAGTCTATTGTATAGAGGATTTAAGGAAAACCTTAAAATGTTTGTACAATTTGTTTTTGAATTTCTTCTAGGTTTCTGCATCTTCGGTCAGTGAAAGTAGAAATATCATCAGCAGTTTTTTCAGTCCATAAGATTCAACATTTAAAAATACAGGGATACTTAATCATTAATTAATCTTAATTATTCTTTTTGAGATATAGGCACTATAGGCAGCAAAATATTAGCCTTATAATCCCGGAAGCTGTGGCCAATAAATTAAATGATAAATAATTGTAAATTGTTTATACATATATAAATCACTTGTTTTAAAATAAAAAATTGGCATTTTAAATTTTATATTGTATTTATTTATTAAATGATAAAATTAAAATATTTATATACTACATGATCTAACACTGTAAGTCTTAGTTTCTTTGGTTTGGTTTACTGTTTGCCGAGTACTATGGGTATAGTTCATTAAATTAATAGATTCTTTTCTTATGATTGACATATGCATATTAATTGTTTTCTTAAGTTATGTTACAATGAAACTCACTTTATAAACAGTATAATATAGGTATTTATTTTCTTTCGAATGGTATTACAAAATATGTTTTACTGTGAACCCTACTAATTAATATACTATGCCTGGTTCAAGAGTCTAAATCTGTACTTATTACATTATCATTTAATTTAATAACAAACCTAAAATATTTGTCTGCGACTTACTAAAAAAAACAATTATGATTTTCGAAAGTGATTAATACAGCTTTTTGTAAAATTATACATTACTTCTTGATGTATGTATTATATTAATTCATTTATTTACTTAAATTGTTCCAATGTGTATATTATTTCCTACAATCTACCAGTAGTTACGTTAAAAGTTAAGTATGTAAATAAATGACTTAGGAGCCTAAAATTATTGAGATTAAATAACGTAATATATAAGTAAATAAAATTGACAATACACCAATAAAATATTTTAGCAATAACCATTGATTCCTGCATGGAACTTTACTTGAACACAGCATCACCAATTTTGTTTTCATTAAATTCTCTATGCAATAGATTATTTCTTGGACACAGTTTTGTTCATTTAATTAATATGCTTCTTGGAAAACAGAAACTTAGGCATACACAGAAACAGATACTCTATAAGTAAAGAAGTAATAATAAAGGTATTCGTAAAAATAACTATCTCACCTTATTCTCACCTCCTAGTACTTCAATTTGGTTTGTTTATATTTTATATATGTATAAATTGAACATCATCCACCAGAAGTATCAACAATTATGAGTTGAGTATTGCAAAATATGACCATATTAGGCAAAATTTAAAAGCCTACAATTAATTTTGTCGATAAACACGATAGTTCTTCCATCAACTAACGGATTATTTACTGGTATTAAACACACATTTTTATTTACAGCTATAATCAACGCAATATTGGTAAATCTGAACGGTCTAGTGTGTATGAAACAATAATAAAAGGCTAATCCGTACATTTTAACAATACAATAATCAAAACTGTTGTCGAAATGTCTCGGTCGGAGGCTTGTCGGACGACGAGATTTAGTTAGGTTAGAGTCTTACTGGTCTTGCTCTTCTTTATTTTTAAAGGCGTTTACTGCATTAAGGATGATTTAATATCGATTTTTTATTGAGTAGAACTGGTGCAGATCGAAACATTTGAGAAAACAATTTTTTGGAAACAGATATGTGTATCTGGAAACTTTCTATTCTTTTCTGGTTTTTCTATATAAGGTATTAATTTTTGACAAATTTTATGTCAGTTCTCAGTAACTGACGTCTAGAGTTCTATCTCGTCAAAAATAGCATCGATAGTCATTCCCCAGCCGCCTTTGACGCCGTTTTTTCTCGATCATACGGTATCTCGATACATGTAAAAATGGACTTATACTTTTCAAAAATAACAGCTCGATTAATGAAAAAGGAAACAATTCCAGCTGTTCGCTTATTTTTCCTTTTGATGTTTCTATTATTCAAGCCGAACCTTTATAAAAAGTGGAGA